TATTGGAATTAAATTGTAGAAATAAATTCTAGCCGGCACTCGAGAGAGGGGATAGAATTAAATTAGGGTTCTTGCCTATAAATTAAGAAAAATCTGACTGAGGTGACATATTATAGGTTGAAAAACATTGTTGATAGTGTGATGAAATCATTCCCTAGGCTTTCATAATTTGATAACTTCTTTGAGTTTTATTTTCGTGTACTTGCAACTTTAGTTATCGCCATTAACACAAAAATCACAACATCATTCCAATTCGCTTGTCCAGATAAAGTGGAAACTACACAATTATAGTACTCATTAGAAATCATACATCAATCCCTGTGGGTTCGACATTCTCTATTTCATCACTATATTACAAAACTTGACACCATACACTTGCGGCATTTTCACGTTGTATAAAACGCGTGACACATAGCATGCTACAAATTATGCCGCCATGGTAGAAGAAGCTATGAGTGTCTGCTTGACACTCTTCCAAGAAATAGCTCATCCAGCTAGCAATAGATATAGCCTGATGTGGATTTCCTACTATCTTGGCATCCAGCAAAATCAGTATCGGAATACCCTATGATCTCTAACTGATCCGATCTAATATATGTGAGCATGTAATCTTTTGTTCTCTTCAAAATACCTCATAACCCTTTTGACTGCTTTCCAATGATCCATTCCAGGGTTGCTCAAATATCTGCATAGCATTTCAACAATGAATGCTATGTCTGGACGTGTACAAACTTGAGCATACATAAGACTCCCAACAGCCAACGCATAGGGAATCTTCTGCATTTCCTTAACTTCAAGGTTATTTTGCGGGTATTGTTAGAGACTAAATTTGTCTCCCTTAGCGACAGGGATGTCACCTGATTTACAGCCTTGTATGTCAAACCTCTTAGTACTTTATCGATATAACTCTTTTGTAACAATCCAAGAATACTTCGAGAGCAATCTCTATGTACCTGAATCCCTAATACAAAAAGGCGTCCCAAGATCTTTTATCTCGAAATTCCTTGATAAAAATCACTTGGTTTAGTGTAACATGCTTATATCATTAGTGGCAAACAGTATGTCATCAACATACAAAAAAAAGGAAAATATGCTTACTCCCACTGAACTTGTGATACACAAAATCATCAACAACATTTATTTAAAACCAAAAGAGATAATTACTTGATGAAATTTGTAGTACCAATGATGAGAAGCTTGCTTGAGCTCATAGCTGGATTTCTTTAATTTGCAAACCATATTCTTCGGATCTCCTGACACAAAGTTTTCTAGTTGCATGATATAGATCGTCTCATCAATGTCGCCATTGAGAAACGACATCTTAACATCCATCTGATATAACTCAAGGTCAAAGTGCACAACAAATGCCATAATTATCCTGAAAGAGTCTTTCGTTGAAACTGGATAAAAAGTCTCTTTGAAGTNTAGAGAGAAAGTCTCTTTGAAGTCAATGCCTTCCCTTTTGGGTAAAGTTTTTAGCTACAAGACGAGCCTTATATCTTTCCACATTACCTTTCGAATCCCTCTTAGTTTTAAAAATCCATTTGCGGAAAAATATCAAATTCTTATAATCAAAAACACTCACTTCTTAAATATAATCTGGAATGTACTTTCTCAATAGCCTTCAGAGGTTGCTGAAGTTTGAGAAAGGTTGGACCAAAAGTACAGGAAGAGTGCAAGAACAAGGTGTTCTTGGTGATCCACATAAGATAAACAATTCTAGAATACCGGGAGCAGATGTGAGTGAAGCACATTCTAACGGGTCTTGGAGATTGCAGGAATTAGATCGGCAAGTCTAGTAAGTTTTTTATCCAATTAATGGTTTTCTCCATTATCAATTCTTTGTGTTGTTTACATTATTGATTTCATACAAGTCGTCAATTCAACGTAGAGTAGTTAATTCATGTGAACTGAATCTAGAATAATTAATTATTGTGACTTGTTGCAATATTAATCAACGATAATTTTTAATTCCGCATTATTCACCTATTCACCCCCTCCCCACCTCTAGGGTTTCAATGCGGATCAAAGGTGTCTTCTACTACTTACATTCCGAATTGAAGTCTTAAAATCACCATAAAGAAGATCGGTTACTGTATTATAAATGATGATCAGCAAGTAAAACCGACCAGAGTTCTACTCCTGGCTCAACATATATTGTTTCTTTTCTCCCTTTCTTTCCTTATATTAAGGCCCTTTACACAAGTAATACAAGTACAGCTAATGCAGGAACGACAGCAATGTACTAATGACCATCCGCTTTTTAGTTTGCAGCTTCACATTTTTGTCTCTTGCAAACCCGCATATTAACCTACTCTTTCTTAATCTGAATGGTCCCTGCTTTAACAGAGACATGACTCCCAAACATGCTGAATTATTAACAAGATTTCCAGTGAAGCTGCATCTTTAGGATAGTTTTGAGTTCTTCAATAGAGGACTTCGTAGCTTGAGGAATAGGCTCTGGTACAATAATAGCTTTCTTTGATGGAACGATTGGATA